GTACAAGAGATCTTCCTTTGGGGAAGATTTTCCCAAATCCTTTCCTTTGAATGAAACTCTAGTTTCTACTCTCTTCTTGCTGGTCACTTTCTATCTCTAGAATTCTGAAGAAGAATGTTTTCTCACTGAAGGTCTCCTCTCCCTTTTTTCCTTCAACTCAAGCCTCCTTTTATACCCATATCGGGCTCAGATCACGGTCCAGGTTCACGACTGTGAATTGAAAGCAGGGACCGTGATCTCGGGTCAAAACGCGCCGCTTCACTAAGTTGAGTTCATGGTCATTGGCTTGAGTTCACGATCTTATGACCGTGAACTGACTTTTGTCCAGTGAGACTGCATTTGGCTCTGGACGGATGGAGGTTCACGGGTTGAGTCTCCAATTCACGGTCTTAGTGATTGTGAACACACTAATTCTATCATGATCTCCTACTGCCTCCATCCTTTGACCCGATTTTTGCCTTTTGTCCAAATTTCGACTCCGGGGTTGGTTCCACCTGCTATAGTCCGAAACACACTAAAACGAGACAAAACCCACCGTAAAACCAAACCTCCCGGAGTACAAATGCCTCAAACGACTAAGGAAAACGAGGTAAAAAGTGTACAATTAAGCCCTAATCAAACATGCTAGACTATTTTTAGCGTGTAGGTTTCATTTGTCCTTGTCGCATCTTGTAATCCCAGGCCACCCTTTTCTTTCGGCTTGTAGAGTATTTCCCAATCAACTTTGTGGATCTACTTTCCCTGCTCCATGCTCTGCTAGAGAAATGCCCAAATTTTCTTGTCAATGTATTCCCAGACGCTTGCTTGGAGGAAAGCCGTTATCATAGTATACGTTGGAAGGGAGGAGAGCATCGACTGAGCAAGTGTGATTCGTCCTGCAAGTGACATCGTTAAAGTTTTCCATCCCGCAAGCCTCAAATCTATCTTGTCTATTATTTCTTTGTATTTAGCTTTAGAGACCCGGTCATGGATAACACGAACCCCAAGTAACGACCTAGATTAGCTATTTCTAGAATTCTAAGAGCTTCACTCATGCTATGTTGTTGAGCTCTGGTGACATTAGCCGATGAAAACACCCATTATTTGGTATTGCTTATCTGCTGACAGGAAGCAACTCCAAATTTATCAAAGCAATTTAAAATAACCGAAACCTGATCGTTTGTCGCTTCCCCAAATAGGATAAAATCATCTGCAAAGGAAATATGGGACAAATCTAGGCCATCCGCATTAAGTTCGACCGGCCTCCAAATGCCGTGATTCGCAGAATCCTCAATCAAGTGGCTCAATCTCTCCATGCAAAGTGTAAAAAGGTATGGTGAAAGAGGACATCCCTGGCGTAATGCTCGCCTCGGGAAAAAAGATTGTGTGAAGCCGCCGTTCCACTGAATTTGCATGTCATCAGCGGAGGTGAACACCATGGTAAGCTCCATGAATCTCGCTGGGGCGCCCGTTGCCAGATGGGGCATCTTTCACCTTGGGAATAATAACTAATATTGCGAATTGATCTCCTTATCGTGTTCGACGACTCCCAGTAGTCATGTGTTGGTTTGCCCAGCGATTCATCCATAGTAAGCCAATAATTTTGGAAAAAGATCGGGTTGAGACCATCTTTCCCCGGTGCTTTCAATGCCTCTATAGAACCAACAACTTGTGCTACTTCTTTGATTCTTGTGGGTTTATCCATTTCCTCCCATCATCCCGCTTCAATAGGAGGGAAAGCTGCTTGTATCTACTGCAAGTCACCACCTTCATAGTATAAAACCCCTTTAAGAAGACTATCACCATTTCCTTTAGTTCATCCGGGTCCTCCACCCATTCATCCATTGAGTTCTTTAGCATAAAGATGTGGTTACGTTTGCAGCGATGTAAGGTATGCAAATGGAAGAACTTTGTATTTTGATCCCCAGAGGCGATCCACTCTGCGGGATTTTTGGGTATCAAGTTCTTCGCCGTCGACTAGCCCCCTTATCATATTCTCCCACCTCTCTAGTCTGCTTAAAAGATTATATTTCCTCCTTTGGATACGCCCAAATACTGTACGATTCCTTGAAAACCGCTTCTTTGGTCCAGGCACTAGCCATCATTTGATGAAACTCTTCATGTGTTAACCAAGCTGCGAAGAATCAAAAGGGTTTTGGTCCTGCCGGTTGGGTGTGCACATGGTCAAAATTAGGAGCAGATGGTGATCCGATTTGATGTGTGGAAGGTGGTGCACACTCGACTTAGGATTAAAGGGTAGTACACTCCATTTTCGCCATTCCTCTGTCCAACCTCTCTCTGAGTCCCCTACGGAACCACGTGTAGGCTGGTCCCGTGAAGCCTAGATCAATAAGGATCGTATCCTGGACACACTCTTGAAATGCAGGAATCCTTGAAGCGCCAAAGGGTCCCACAAGCTTTTCCCTAGGACTAATAACGGAGTTGATGTCTCTCACTAGTATCCATAGGTTTTCCTGCTCTTCCACCAACTAGTGGATTTTGTCCCACAGCTCCCTTTGGAGAACAGGTCCCAGGTTGTCATAAACGGCCAAAAGGTGGCAATAAGGGCTGCAGGAGTTGGGTACCTGCACCTGCACATGAAGACATTTGGCATGTTTATTAAGCCTCGTTATGGAGAGTTCTCCCACATTCCATAAAATCCAAATCCCACCCGAAAAAACTAAAGCTTTGATAATCAGTTTACTACCAAAGCCAATGTCATGAATAACATCATTTACTCTATCCCCGTTTATACCAGGTACCACAATAATCACAATATAAGGTTGATGTTTCATGCGGTATTATTTAAAAACCCGGAGGAAAACCTTAGGGAAAAGGGTAGTACACTCTATTTTCGCCATTCCTCTGTCCAACCTCTCTCTGAGTCCCCTACGGAACCACGTGTAGGCTGGTCCCGTGAAGCCTAGATCAATAAGGATCGTATCCTGGACACACTCTTGAAATGCAGGAATCCTTCAAGCGTCAAATCGTCCCACAAGCTTTTCCCTAGGACTAATAACGGAGTTGAAGTCTCTCACCAGTAGCCATAGGTTTTCCTGATCTTCCACCAACTAGTGGATTTTGTCCCACAACTCCCTTTGGAGAACAGGTCCCGGGTTGCCATGAACGGCCAAAAGGTGGCAATAAGGGCTGCAGGATTTGGGTACCTCCACCTGCACCTGCACATGAAGACATTGGGCATGTTTATTAAGCCTCGTTATGGAGAGTTCTCCCACATTCCATCAAATCCAAATCCCACCCGAAAAAACTAAAGCTTTCATAATCAGTTTACTACCAAAGCCAATGTCATGAATAACATCATTTACTCTATCCCCGTTTATACCAGGTACCACAATAATCACAATATAAGGTCGATGTTTCATGCGGTATTATTTAAAAACCCGGAGGAATCGACGACTACCCGCACCCCTGCAATTCCAAGAAAACATTTTCATAATCATAACGGATCCTCCCTTGCTCACGACCTCATTGTAGTTTTTTATTTGGACACCCGGATCTTAGTCCCTTGCATCTTCGTTGGTGGGTTTCAAAATTTTAGCTCCTTGCTCGCTAATGGGAGATTGAGCAGTAGCATTGCCCTCTACCGCAATTGGATGTTTAGTCCCTTGCATCTTGGTTTGCCTCTTGTTTTGGAAATTGGGTTCCCGGTTGGTCTGGGCACCCCAACGTGGCTTGTGTATTTTCATTCATAGGAATTTTTCCATCTTCCATATGTAACGCTTGGAACCTGGAACCTGATGGAGCTTCCCTTGCCACTTTTTCCTTTGATGCAGTACTAGTGTCGTGAGAGGGCGTCGATGGCTCTCTTCGTCAGTTTAGTAATCATCCATTTACCATAGATAGTATCTGGTTTGGTCATTTCCTGTTCCCTTGTTGTCTCGCCATTATATGAATCCATGAGTTCCACCGATTTGGAGCTGAGACGAACATGGAACCGACACCCGTATTTGTCAAAGTCGCGCAACTTCAAGAACGAACGATAACATGGATTTTTAAGCTTTTTGTTTGGGATAGAATGAAATTGAAAGCGCAAAGAAGACTCTAACAATATAAAGGATAGAATCTCGACCACAATCAAGGGGAAAACTTGATTGATACAAAGAATAATTCACTAACCTAAAGCTCAATGAACTAAGATAAAATCAATATTCTTCAGAAACTAACTCAAAATTTGTGTATTAACTCTTAAGCTCTTAATTAAATTATGAAGTCTCATTTATTTACTTTATTATTATCTATCTTATAGAGTTGGACAAACGTGGAAAACTGAATAAACAAACGTCTACAAAAAATTAGTGGGCAGCCGAGATACAATCTAGGCTCCCACTCCTTTAGCTATAGCATAGCTAAGTCGCTCCTTTAGCTCTTTATATAATCCATGGCAAAGAAAAAAAACAAAAAAACAAACAAGGAAAAGGACTTGTCGTCCACCTAGGCCCGATCCCCGATCGGACCCCCATCGGATCCGCAATCTGGGAATGTCTTCTTCCTGGCCGGGGGTTCCTTCTGTTCACATTCCCCGGTTGCTCCTCTCGATACCCTGTCAGGGATTTGTCCTCTTCTGGCCAAGAATCGCTCATTTACACAATCCGCTCGCGGGCCTCTTAACTCGGTCAGTTGGAATCGCATCAGTCCCTCCATGTTGGAGAAGTTTTACCCTCAAAACTTGTGTTTTCCTACAAGAGACAACATTAACAAGATTATCAAATGGAGTTCTTCTTAGCGCAGTCAACATGTGCCTTTGGGCCAAAAGATGAGTTCCATTTTTATCGTCCAACTTCAAGCCACTTGCATTTTCAGAACCTTAACCACCAGAGCTAACCTCCATTGAGAAGAGAACTGTCTCTCCTCCACCATTGAAAAATGTATTCTTCAGAGCTTTTTTTTCTTCCCCTAGAGCTTTACACTGCACTATTATACAATATTTTTTCTTCATTTTTTTTAACTAAACGAACACAATAAAGAAATATAAAGTAAAACCCAATGATGAACATATTCCTGCTCCATTTTATTAACTCCTAAAAGAGATTCCGTGGAGGACATTAAGGATCTCAGGCCGATTTGTCTCATGAGCAGCTTCAACAAGATCGTGAGCAAAGTTCTTGCTCGAAGAGTTGCCCCCATTCTCCCTCATATTGTCTAGAAGCAGCAACACGCTTCCATTGTTGGAAGACAGGTTTATGATGTGGGGTTAATTGCTAACGAATTTCTCAACAACAGGAGAAGAAGTAAGAAACCAAGGCTCATATTCAAGATCGACATTGAGAAAGCATTTGATAACGTCAACTGGAACTGCCTTTACAAGATTCTCACTAAGTTTGGATTTGCTCATCAATGGGTCAACTAGATCAAAGGTACCATGTGCTCTCCTTAGTTCTCCGTGATGATCAATGGCGAGGCAAAAGGCTTCTTCAAAGATGAAAAAGGCCTCCGGCAAGGCGACCCACTTTCATCCGGCGTGTTCACTCTTATTATGGATGTGCTCTTGTTTATGATATCTAGACTGAAAGATGCTGGTCTGATTGAAGGGTTCCATATGAATGAAGATAATAACAGTGGAGAAGTGACTCATCTTTTATTCGCCGATGACACTTTGCTTTTTTGCGATGTGTGTCATGATCAAGTCGTCAAACTCCTTGCTACCCTTGTTTGCTTCCAGGTGGTTACCGGGCTTAAGATCAATCTTGACAAGTCTTTTATGATATGTAACACCTTAGGCAAATCCTACATCGACAAAGCACGGGAGAGTTTTATGGTTCATAAGTAAGAAACCGACTTTAACTGACAAGACGAGTTTTGGGGTGAAATGGCGGAGTTCTTGTGAGAACTCCGAAGTTAACCGTGCTTAGTGTGGAGTACAACAAGGATGGGTGACCTTATGGGAATTCACCTTAAATGTCACCCCAAGTCAAAAACCATGAGGGTCGAGGCCCAAAGGGGACAATATCTTCGTCGTGAAAAGGTTCCAGATGTTACAAGTGGTATAAGAGCCTCTCCGCGTCCCTCTTGAACAATGGTGGGGCAAACCACAAAGAGGACCTTGAGTCCCAAGGGGGGTGTATGTAACACCTTAGGAAAATCCCACATCGACAAAGCACGAGAGAGATCCATGGTTCATAAATAAGAAACTGACATTAACTGACAAGACGCGTTTTGGGTGAAATGGAGGAGTTCTTGTGAGAACTCTGAAGTTAAATGCGCTCAGTGTGGAGTACAACAAGGATGGGTGACCTTATGGGAATTCACCTTGAATTACACCCCAAGTCAAAAACTGTGAGGGTCGAGGCCCAAGCGAACAATATCTTCGTCGGGAAAAGGTTCGGGATGTTACATGCTAGACGTACATGTACCAAGTTATTATGCGGAGCTGTTTTGATGTAAGTCGAGAGGTATCACAAGAGATTAGATGGCTGGAAATCCAAACTGTTGTCATACGGAGGCCGGGTCACTCTGATCAAGGTTGTGTTGTGTAGTCTCCCTTTTCATTACTTCTCAATATTCAAGGCTCCTCGTTCGGTTACTGTTACAATGGAAAGAATCATGAAAAATTTCCTCTGGATTGGGACTAGGAATTTTCGACCCCCACTTGTTAAAATGGAGCATATGTAAGGCAGCTATAGCTCATGGAGGACTAGGCATGTTTGATTTGGAGAAAAGCACTTTTGTCGAAATGGCTTTGGCGGTTCATGACGGAGAAAAGCGGTTGGTGGCGTTTACTGATTCAATGTAAATACAAGCACAAGAGGTCTTCGTGGATCACTAGAAGCACTAGTAAAGGTTCTGAAAACTCACCTTGGTGTAGCATATCCAAAGAATACAAATCATTCTTGTATTTTCATTGACCCGGGTGCTGGCTTAAATGTTTCATATTGGTTCGACTTCTGGGCACCAGGCTTCGTTCTTGCCGATTCCTTACCTCAAATTGATGTTGTTGTTGTTTCCCTAGATGCCTCCTTCGCTAACACCATCAATATCTCGGATGAGTCTATTCATTGGGATACTAATTGGAGAATTACTCTGAGGGGTGGGGCTGAGCGTGAGAAATGCAATCTTTTTCACTATCTTGATTCTTTACATGTTGATTACCTTGATCATAGTCCCTGCAGACCTGTATGGGTCCCTAATCCAGGGTCTAGGTTTTTCCGTTTCGTCCATGTACAGGTGTCTCATCAATGGCTATTTCCCGAGAGTCCCTGATTTCCCCTTCCAAGCGATCTGGAAAAGCATTATCCCCACGAAGATTTGCTTCTTCATGTGGACTATTCGCCATGGTAGAACTCCCACGATTGACAGGATGAAGAGAAGAGGTTGGGTCATTACCAACCATTGTGAGCACTGTAAGAAGGATGAAGGATCCCAAAACCATCTCCTTATCAATTGCGAATATGCCAGGAGTATTTGGGATTTCTTCAGAAGAAGATGCAGTGGGATACACCGGCAGGGGAGTACATTGTCGATATCATCCGTTTTTGGCCTTCATCTGCACCTGATTGTGTGGATGATTGGTTTAAATACTTCCTTCTGCATGCTCTGTGCTGGCACCTTTGGATTGAGCGCAACAGACACATCTTTAAAGATATTAGCACCCCTTTTGGTGCCACGGTCAGACGTATTGCTCAAGACATTGTTAATTGGATCATGACGCACGGCAAAGCCAGTAGTTCACAATGCTCCGAGTGCTTGAGAGTGCACTTTGAAAGATGAGCAAGTGTGATGCAGGGGCTCTTCTTTTCTTGCAGGTCCTTCTTCCTTTCCTCAAGGTCCTGTATTTTTGCCTTGCTGCACTTGTTTGCTGACCAGCAGCTACAACAATTTTCTCCTTCTCCTTTCCTACTTTTGTCCTTTTCTTTCTTGCTCTGTGTACCAAGTTCAGCTCTGCTGAACCTCGAACATTGCTTTTTGGTTCCCATTCTCTTATTTAATATTATCACCCTTACAAAAAAAAATTTAGCCGTAATTCGCCGTCAGCTACCCGTATTATTATCGCCGCCAGGTCACTATTCTCCCTCAAAAAATTACGGTCAAGGATTACGACCGTATTTCTTGGTCTCTTGCACGTATTTTCATCTCCGTAAACCTTGTTGCCTTCCTGATCGAAATATGGGCAAAGGGGAAATAAAATACGCATGTATTTTAATCCACCACCCCCGTATTTTTATTTCCGCGAGCAGCCACATGAGAAGGGTGAATTACGAGAAATGGGGTGGAAAATACGGTCGTATTTTTTACCCCTGTTGCCCATAATTTCTCTGCTGAGGCCCCCCTGTCAAAAAATTTCAAACCACAATATCCAACAACCAACCCCATTCGTGTCCCGACTCGAAAAACACAACCACAGGAAAAAACATACCACCTGGAGTCACAAAATAGGTTATAGAGACAGATTCCTGACAGACTCGATGACTCTAAACAAAAAACAAAAATAGAAAAAGGGAAAAGAAACTGCAAACCGTGGTGGGGTTTCCTCCCCCCAGAAGAAGGAACTAAGGGTCCTTTAGTTTAATCAGCAGCTCTGCGCGTTCTACATCACCTCCCAGATACAGCTTCAGGAGGTGCCCGTTCACCTTAAACGACTCAGATTTAGCATTGTTGATCTCTACCGCACCATGCGGGAACACCTAGGTGGCTGTGAATGGTCCCGTCCACCGTGAGCACAGCTTGCCCGGGAAGAGTTTCAAGCATGTGTTATAGAGCAAAACTCGATCACCAACCTGAAACTCCTTAGGGCCCTTCAACCGAGCGTCATGGAGACGCTTGGTTCGCTCCTTATAGAGCCAGGTATTCTCATAGGCGTGGTAACACCATTCCTCCAACTCAAGCAGCTGCAGCTTACGTTCAGCCACCGACAACTGTTGCTTAACATTATAACGAGAGAGGAGTTTAGCAAATTTTCCTTGAAAATGGGTTCCCCTATCACTTAAGATGACTCGAGGTGTCCCGAACCGGGAGAATAGCTGCTTCAGAAAGAAGCAGACCCGTCTTGCATCATTGGTGGGCATGGCTTGAGCTTTTACCCACCTTGAGACGTAGTCTACCGCAACCAGTATGCACAGATTACCAAGAGATGGAGGAAATGGGCACATGAAATCGATGCCCCAAACTTCAAAAATTTCACAAACAACAGAGATATGTTGGGGCATCTCATCCTGGGAAGAAATCTTACCTGACCTCTGGCAGCGGTCGCACTGTCGTGCGAAGATATCACCATCCTTGAAGAGCGAGGGCCAGTAGAAGCCCGCCTGCAGCACCTTCTGCGCCATGCGATTCCCGTCATGATGACCTCCGGTGGGTCCTTCGTTGCACTTAGACAGAATGTCTTCCATCTCATGCTCCATAACGCAGCGTTGGATCACTACTTCGATCCTGAAGAGGTAAGGATCCTCCCAAAAGTAATGCTTTAGGTCGGAGAAGAACTTGCACTTGGCGTGAGTGGCCATCCCCTTAGGAAACTGTTTGCCCACCAGATAATTGGAAAAGTCAGAATACCAAGGGGTGACGCTCTCCACCAAGAACAATGCCATCAATCGCTCACCCGGGAAGGAATCATGATCTCTTCCACAAAGTTGTCCGCTGGTGGAGCTTCCAACCGTGAAAGATGATCGTCAGCAATATTCTCGGCTCCTTTCTTGTCCCGGATCTCGATATCGAATTCCTACAGAAGTAGGATCCAGCGGATGAGCCTAGGCTTGGCATCAGCCTTGCTCATCAGATAGCGAATGGCAGAGTGATCTATGTAGACCACTACATGGGAGAGCATCAAGCAAGATGGGAACTTGTCAAATGCATACACCATTTGGAGTGTTTCTCATATGCATCGTTCAGAGTCTTCGACGCGTAGTAGACGGGTTGGAAGTGTTTCTCACATCTATGACCGAAAACAGCTCTGACTGCATAGTCACTCGCATCACACATCCGCGCAAAGGGGAGAGACCTATAAGGAGTCACCATGATGGGTGCATGGGTAAGCTTCTCCTTCAAGGTCTCGAATGAAGCTGTGCAATGTGGAGTGAAATGAAAGGGTGCATCCTTCTCGAGCAGCTTGGTCAATGGCAAGGCTATCTTTGAGAAATCCTTAATGAACCTCCTTTAAAAACCTGCATGACCTAGAAACCTACGGATCCCCTTTGAGAAAACTTCCATGATCTCTCCAACCATTCGGTCGAAGATCGCCATCATACAATGCTTGAAGGTCGTTGGGGCATTGCAAAGCCCAAATGGAATCCTCTGATATGCAAAAGTGCCGAAGGGGCAAGTGAAGGTGGTCTTCGCCTGATCCTCTAGCGCAATCGGGATTTGGAAGTATCCATACATGCTATTCAGATAGCAGTAGAACTCATGGCCAGCCAACCTCTCCAGCATCTGATCAATGAAAGGTAGTGGGAAATGGTCCTTCCTGGTGGCGTCGTTCAGGCGTCGGTAGTCGATGCAGACTTGCAGTCACGGTCCGCATTGGGATCAAATCATTCTTCTCATTTGGGACCACAGTCGTCTCGCCTTTCATCGGGACCACCTGAGTGGGACCGACCCACTTTCTATCGGATATAGCAAAGATGGTCCCTACATCCATCAACTTCACGATCTCTGCCTGGACCACTGGCTCCAAGTTAGGAGTCAATCTCCGCTGCGGCTGCCTGACTGGCTTGACCTCATCCTCCATCAGAATTTTGTGGGAGGATAGGGATGGGCTAATGCCTCTGATGTCAGTTATCTTCCATTCCATGGTCCGGGCGTACTTCTTCAACAGAGCCACTAGTATGCTATTTTGATCGGGTGTCAGATCTGAGCTGGTAATGGAGCTTATTCCCCTCCCAGAGAAAAGCACACTCCAGGTGAGAGTGGAGGGGCTTAAGCTCCAACTCTGGGGATCCTCTAGGGATGTCGTGATCCGGGGTGAGATAGAAATCGGCTTGTATGGCTGCTCTCGCCCCTCGATCGCGGTGCCCTCTAACTCCACAAGCTGCTCCTCTAGCTACAACTCCTGCGATGCCTGTTCTCCTAGCAAAAGATAACACTCAAGGAAATCATCAGTACTCGCACTCGTGATGGCGAGTGTGGTCTCAAAATCAACAATAACATCGCAGTAATCTAAATCATCATGGAGCTGGGGGTGTTTCATATTGTAAAAAACAGAGAAGGTGATTTGTTCACCCCTAGCCCTCAAAATCAGTTTGCCATCATTAACATCCATCAGCGCCTTGGCGCTGGAGAGAAAATGTCTACCCAGAATTAAAGGCAAAAACATATCCTCATTAATATCAAGAATAACAAAATATACAAGATATGAGAATGACCCTACTGCGACTATCAAGTCCTTTGCAATACCCCTAGGATGCAGAATGGATCTATCAACTAATTGAATGCTCATCCTAGTGTTACTGGGTTCACTGAGGCCGAACTTTCTAAACATTTTATATGGCATTACGTTAATGCTAGCGCCTAAATTCTCCAAGGACTTTCCTACATGCAAACTACCAATCATGCAAGGGACAGTAAAACTCCCTGGATCTTTTTGCTTATCTGGTAGCTTGTTATGCAAGATGACAGAACACTCCTCATTGAGAATCACTGCCGGTAGCTCCCCAAGCTTCCTCTTGTTAGTGAGGAGATCCTTCATGAACTTCGCGTACTTGGGCATCTTCGATAATGCCTCAACAAAAGACATACTGATGTTCACCTGCTTCAGCATTGCCATGTACTTGGCAAACTCAGTCTCTCGTCGGTCTTTGTGCAAACGAGTAGGGAAAGGAAGCTGAGGGACATACTCCTTCACCACTAGTTGTGGCTTGGGAA